TTGACTGGTAGTGTATGTATATATCTATTTTCTAAAAACACCCCTGAAACTGAAATTCTTTGTTTCTTCATTTAGCTGCAAAAATCACCAGATAATAGACTACAATGTATAAAACACGTTTCACACAGAAACATCCACACAGTGTGGATCTGTGCAGGATGGACTATAAAATTGGACAATTTATCACTCGAGTCACAGGGAAATAGAAAATCAGACTCAACTACACAGCAGTGACTGATTCAGAGAGGATTTATGTCTGTAGTGGAGGTTGGGTGATTTTATCATTGCCTGCCCTGGTCAGTGATTTTAATCCTTTCCAAAGTGCACATGTGGGTAATTTCACTTTCATTTTAAAAATTCACTCACTTTTCACAGTCTTGATCGGTGTGACAGCTTGGTAAAATTAACTATTAGTAAAGGGGGAAGGTATTGTTAAAGTCATGTGTGGATGGTAGAAGTATGAGTTCTGTGTATTCTCACTGAGAATGACTTGTCAATCACAAGGTAGCCACGCCCAAAAGCTTTATCATCTGGTTTGTTGCCATTTTGCCAAAAGACTGAATATTATCGGACTTTACTCTGCATATTTATTGATTTTCATAAAATAAGCACACATTGACAGTGTGTGTGAACAAGTAAACATTACCTTTTCTATTAACGTCACAATAAACTAAAACACCTGAAAGAAACTGTAGGCAACTAGCCTACACAATAAGAATGACTAAATGTCACAGACTATAACTAAATTATATGTCTTTAGTGTTTGAATGTGACAAATGACTAAAACTAATGTAGGCTACATTTTTGTTATAGCCATATTTTAGACCACTTACAGGCTAGATACAATTGTCTGAAGATTTGGAAATAAAACTTATTTATTGATTTCTAATGCCCCCTTTGGTATTTCTATTCAATGCTTTAATAAGCTACAATAATGTAATACGTTTGAGTTCAAATATCAAATAGCTTTTCCAAACAAATATTGTTAAATGTGATTGTTTGGGATTAAATCAGCATATATTTCTGTCTCCCTTTAAAGTTTCCATGCTACCCTCTTGCCACCCCATGAATATTTCTCTAGATCCACCCCTGTACACTTGAAAAATACACATCTGCATGAACAGCAACACAACACACTGTATCTGTGCTGTAGTGTGTGTGTGTGTGTGTGTGCTCCATTTCCATGTCAAGCGCTTCTCCACATTCATCATTAACCTATTTATAACGTTGACGTCATGACGCGTCAGCATGTTTGAGTGTGCCTATGTGCATGTGTGTCTGAGTGATGAGGCAGATGTGACACTGTACTGCCTATACATCCACACCAATACAACTCAAACATATTCTCCATAAAAGACAGGACACTGGTGCGTCATTCAGCAGTGAAAGCTCTTCTGTGCATTCCACTGAACCAGCAGGAGCAGTGTTAGATCACTGTAACACAATTTGAATGCATTGCTGAGTGGAACTACAGTAATTGCCCAGGGTCTCAATGGAGAGAGCCCTCAAGATGACTAATGTTATTATCTACAATTTTACAATTCTGCGTTACAAATTAGGTGATATTAGTAATGACGCGACACCACACATTGACGTCAATCGGCTGCTTGGTGGAATAGAGTACTTCAGGAAAGAGTCCAAAAACCCGAAACTGAGTTAGTATTTTAGCGAATCCGGTTCCGTCGCCTCGAAGTCAACAGGTTTTTTTGAATGGGTTTTTGGTTAAATGAGGTCTGTGGTCAATATTCACATTTTGTTCTACAACATAAAATATGTCATTAAATACACCACCTGAGAGTTTTGAAGCTTTGAAGCGTGTCTTAAAAAGGTAACAAGTGGCTAAATGAGACTACAGAGGCGACATTAAACATCAGCACGACAAAACACAGAGACTTACCTACTCATTAGTCCTCTTTTACAGCCTTGTTGTGTTTACTGTAGACTGTATACATGCTCTTGCTCACTATCTGAATTGTAGATTTTACTTAGATTTAATTACAAGTTGGCAGTTACAGGTGGTGACGATGAAGGCCTGAATGCGACCGTGTGTAGTTCATTTATAGCCTAATGTTAACTTTTTTCTTCTGGCAATTGCATTTATGCTTCAACAATTATAAAAGTGTTGTTCATTTGTGAAGATTATCATGCGGAACAAAACATGTACGTATCACAAACCTTTGTTAGCCACAGAGCTGATTTTCTGCATTAATCCAACTGCTTTTTATAAAAGGAACTATGGTGGTGCTAACTTCCGGGTTAGCCTTCAAAAATACGAAATCTCTACAGCATTTGAAATATTTACTGTTTTTTGGAGGAACAGACAACACAGTAACAAAATCTTGATTCATCGTTCATCAGCACTGCCTTGTTTGACAGTTTGAGCTGAGTTTGGCGCATTGTGATGGATAACCACTGAGAATGACCTCTTAATCACAAGGTAGCCACACTCCTTGCTTTTTTGTCTTTTACTTTTTTATATATTCATATATATATATAATATTTTTTTTGTCCGGTGTAATTATTTATTATATATTTCTACAATATGCCACTACCTCCCTCTGTAAATTGTGCAATATTATAATTTAACTTTAAATCATATCTGTATAATCATACTGTATATAGTTTGTAACCCACATTACATTTTTTTTTTTGTTATTTAATATGTATCTCTTATTTTTTCTGTGTTACACATCTGGAGCTGCTGTAACAAGTGAATTTCCCCATGTACAATAAAGTCCATCCTATCCTATATAAAACATTGGATGTTGCATATAGTTTGTACTTTGTGACCAGACAGGAATCTGTGCAACACAGAAATAATGATAATGCTTCTGATTTGACACACTTCTACAATCATCCTTTCCCACTGTGAATCCAAATGCATTTTTCTTTGCAATATCTAAGTAATGTAAGCTGCTTCTCTTCCGTTGAACGTCCTCCCCCCCTCCCCTCCTCGTTGCATGGTCAAAGAGGGGAGGGGGAGGTACACACACACACACACACACACACGGCAACATCTACTGCTGATGTCAGACTCCAGTCATGTCGACCCTCCTCAGCACCATCAGCACCATCATCTTCATGGCTTTTCTACAGAGACGTAAGTAACCCGGCTCCACCGTCGTTCGCGTCCTTTCCCCAACTTCCCATTGTGTCTCTGCCGCCGTATTCTGCCCGTATTGTCGGTTCTCTCCGCCGAAAGCCTCGTTCACCGGTGAAAACAAGGGTTCAGTCTTTCTAAGCGGGTCAGGCTGGGATGTTTTGGTTGCGCAGCGCTGGGTGCTGTCGGGGAAAAGGCTCAGCAGTGACGCTGTAATGAATATTAGAAAGATCCCAGACAAATATCACTTGAACATCACAGAGAGATTGTGAAAGAGTGGAAAAATACCTCTAAGATCGATAAGGTTGATGGAAACTCTCTTCAGTCCCACAGATGCGCTATGCGGCGCTGTGGGAATATTCTGGGACGATTACTAGGTGCATTTAGTACCGTAGCTTCTGTGTCTTTCTGATGATTTATTCCTGCCTATAACACACACACGGAGAACATTTGTATTGAGAGAGAGGTTTTAACCAAGCTGATATAGAGCGCGGATGGACGTGTTGCGTTCACGTGCTGTCAATTCTCTGGAAATGATGGGGTTTTTCCGTCATGTCAC